CCTCCCCCTCTCCCGTGTCCCCCCGGAACCATTGGTCCCGTTGTTCTCTCCTCCAGACGATTCATCCCGTCTATCTTATCAAGATAGATCTGTAGCGATAATAATATGCACCACAAATCAAGCCATAATAAGATGGACGATGAATGAGAACATAGTGATGGCAACAAAAAAGAAAACCAATTACCCATAGAAGAATAAATTAATTAAAAGAGAAAATTTTTAAAAAGAAAGAAAAATCTGTAAATAGATCAAGGTCTGATTTTTGGTCTCTAGGCATGTCCTTCAGTCAGTTCCGATGGGGTACCATGGTCTGGCCCCAGAGTCTGTCTTTTGTACTCCCTTAGGGGTTCCCTGCTCTGCTCCCACGGTTGCTTTTCCGCATGCTTTTAGTGGTTTGCCTCAGTGTCCCAGGGTCAGTCTGGGCCAGTCCTGACACTGAGTCTCCAGTATTGTCCCCCTTAGGTCCCTGGGCCATTAAGGGACAGCGTGTCTCCTAATGGGATCAGCCATACTGTCCGCTCTGTGCATTGGCTGTTCAGAGCGGGGATATCGTCCTCCAGGTTTGGTGGGCCAGAAAGCGCTCTCTTCCTCCCCCTAAGTGCTGCCATTTGCTCTGATCAGACATGCCCCTCTCCCCTAGATGCAGCTTCAGTGCTGTCCTCTCAAGTAAATTATTCTAGGGGGAGGGGAAGTTGTCCACATAGCTGTTATGGGGGCCAAGCCCTCAGCCCCCTTCACTGGCTCCCCACTCCTTGCTGGCACACTGCATTCATCTGGCACTGGCTTTAATTCTGGTCCCTCTTTCCCTGTGGAGACACAAACAATACCCTCCCCTTGGTGGGTCAGTTCCCTGGTCCTCCACCACACATCTTTTTTTTTTTTTCTTTCCCTTTTCCTCCTTCTCCGCCCCCCTTTTTAGTTGGCTACCATATGTACCCCTGGATTTTGTCTGGCCCCTTCCATACTACCTGGACCTCACCCCTGGAGTAGGTGTATACAGTAGCTTTTTCCCTGTACCCCCTTTGCATTTACCTTTCTGTTCTTTCTTTTTTTATAAATATAATCTTACTTCAACGGATTCATGTTATACTTGTCCTTTTGTGCTTGACTTACTTCACTTAGCATAATTTCCTATGCGGCGATATGCTTCATGCATTCACTGCTGCTTTTTAGTGATGCATAGTACTCCATAGTATGTATGTACCACAGTTTTTTCATCCATTCGTCTGTTGATGGAAATTTGGGTTGCTTCTAACTCCTTGCGATTGTGAACTGTGTCTCAATGAACATAGGAGCACAGATGTCCTGCCGTGGTTTGTTTCTTGCCTCTTCTGGGTATATGCCCAGTAGGGGGATTGCTGGGTCGTATGATAGCTCAATTTCCATCTGTTTGAAAAATCGCCAAATCGATTTCCATAGTGGCTACATATACCTACAGGTCCACCAGCAGTGGATGAGAGTTCCTATCTCACCACAGCCCTTCCAACACTCGTTGCTTTCTGATTTTTTGAATTGGGCTATCTTTGAGGGTGTTAGGTGGTATCTCATAGTTGTTTTGATTTGCATTTCTCTTATGGCTAATGATTAGGAACATTTTCTCCTTTTTTTATTGACCATTCGGATTTCAAACTATGTGAAACTTCTGTTCAGGACCTTTGCCCACCTCCTCAGTGGGCAATTAGTAATGTAAATTTTAGTAATAAGGCCTTTGTCTGATGTGTCGTTCCTAAAGATGTTTTCCCAGTCAGTGGACTCTCTTATTACTCTCTTGGTGAATTCTTTCGATGTACACAGGTATCTAATCTTCAGTATATCCCACTGTCTATTTGTGACTCCTCTGTGTTTGTATCCTTCCCTATTTCTGATAGCCTATGTATTCCCTATGTGCCAAGGTTCTCAAGTTTGTCCCAATTGCCTCATTAATGGCCCTAATTGTTTGGGGTTCTATCTCAAGGTTTATGATCTACCATGAATTTATTCTTGTGCATGGAGTGAGTGAGGTAAGGGTCTTGCTTCATTTTCCTCTAGGTAGATATCCATTTTTTACAGCACCATTAATTTAAGATGGCATCTGCTTCCCATTTAATATTTTTTGGGCCCTTATCAAAGATCAGTTGCTCGTATGCTGATGTTTTTATTTCTGCGTCTTCAGCTCTTTTCCATTGGTCTGAATATCTGTCATTATGCCAGTACCACACTGTTTTGAATACTGTGGCCGTATAGTACGTGCCCAAATCAGGTAGAGCAAGCCCTCCCACTTTGTCCTTCTTCTTGAGTTCTCTGCTAATTCTGTGCTTCTACCCCCTCCATATGAAGTTGGTAATCTGTTTTTCCATTTTGTTGAAAATGGCTGGTGGTATTTGTATCAGGATACCAGGGCAGAACTAACATCTTTACTATATTGAGTCTTCCAATCAACGAGCATGGGATATTCTTGTCTAATGTGTAGAGCAGTCCAGTAGACTTCTGTTTGTTGATTTTGTATGCTGTCACTCTGCCATATTCCTCTATTGCTCCTATACCTATGGAGTTTAAGGGATCTTCGATGTATAGAATCATATCGTCTGTGAATAATGATAATTTCACCTGTTCCTTCTCCAGCTGAATGCCTTTAATGTCATTCCTTTGTCTTATGTTGTTAGCTTGGACTTCCAGTATGATGTTCAATAGGAGTGGGAACAAGGGGCATCCTTGTCTGGTCCCCTTTTTCAGTGGAATTGTTTTTGTCT